TCAAGGTTGTAGAATTTTTGAAAAGAGTGTTAAACCCACTCAAAATCTCTTGATTTTGAGTTTGATTTTGATAGTTGGTGGCTATCATCATTGTTTTGGGATGACATATAATGATGTCATTATTTGGATTTCGGTAGGTTCTTTTTTTTATTAAGTATTAAAATTACAGCTTTATTTTATGAAAACACTTGATGGCTTTGCATTGAAAACAACTTTGCCCTATCTGAGTCAAGAAAACCGTTAAGTAATGTAGCGCTGGTTGGTCTGTCAGGAAGTTCGAGTGAGCTTAGGAAGTCTCTAAAGGAAAAATTCGGATATTCGTCAAACTTCTGAGTTCTCACGGCCCMACTTTTATTGCTTTTATATATTTTATGGGGGAAAAGCATGAGATTGAGCAAACTTTGCATGTTTATGATATATGAAATTTTGGGACTAAAGAACTGTATAGTCGATGCTCTGCTCAAAACTTTTGGACTAAGGAACTTCTTAGTCAAGCTCTATTGAAACCTCTGGACTAAGGAACTGCTTAGTCAGGTTTATTATGTTTTGTTTTGATAACTGTTATTGCACTTAGAATAAATGATAAATTGATGTGCTTGGGAGTATATGTTTCCAAATAAAAGTCCCCGTCCGTAAACGCTACTTGTTAACTCGGGTACATCCCCGGGCCGTGGTATTGTGGATAGCCGCTATTGTGTTGACATTCCCACCCAGAAAGGGGTGCACAATTACCTACATTTTCTAAGTCTAATCATGTGGAATTTGGACCACCACTGAATTAGTACTCTATCGAACTGTGGGACCTAAGTAGTGAATGGGCTACTTCTGGTTGTTCGAAAATTAATGGGGCAAATTGGTCAGGTAAGGCTCAGTAGCGTCTCAAGTTTTACATCGTGAGAGATTTACATTTATTAAGTGCAAAGAATTCGCATAAGTTTGCTATTACTTGGTTTATGCATTGAAATGTTTTAGGCATGTGAAAATTCGTGAACTCACCAACTCTTTGTAGTTGACTTTGTTTTATTCCATGCTTTTCAGGTTCTAAGTAAAGTTGTTTGGATTTTCGGGAGCATACTTGAGTCAGGATCGATTAAGTCAGATTTTGAAGTGTTTTGAGAACGTTGTATAAAATTCTAATTTTAGTTATGTCGATGAACTACTTTGTTTTTGAACAACTTGGTATGGTGTTATTTATAAACTGTTGTTATGACTCGATTGCCTGTTACATCTCGTGTTTCCGCTTTAGCGGGGTGTGACACATCCCAAATATATCTAATACTTAAATATATCAAAACTAGAATCCCAAGATCAACACTTACATTGCAGCGGAAAATAAAATCTCTAATATAACAAATTATATCACCATCTAAATTACAATCTTGAGGATCATAACTTTGCTCTATATAACAATGCCTTGATCTACACATAACCTTCTTTAGAGCTAATCCGTATCTCTCTTTATTGCACTTTTCTTTCCACTCAAATAGCCGCCTGGGTGAAAAAATTTAAATGAGTTTTGGGTGAGCCTTAGGCCTAGTGAATCCACGGTTTTCATGCATGAAGAACAACTTTTACAATAAACAATTTTCACGAAGCTTTATAAATTTAGCATGCCTTGATAAGAATAATACTTTTCACAAAATAAATGTATTATAGTGCATGTCTACATCACAAAGCAACAACGTCATGGGAGATGTCTACCTCACACAGCATTACCTGGCGAACTCACACAGCATGTCTGCACTTACGACTTAGACAAGCTCACAAAGCATGCTCGTCTTTACAAAATCAAATCGTAGTACATCCCCATTGACACACAAGTACTCAAAACACATATTATACAAATATTGAACTTTTCACGCATATATAACATATCAAAATTTTTGAGAAACTTCAAACAACTTGTGGATAATAAGGCATACAACCATTTTAAAATCACGTGTAACTCACAATACATGGCGTAGCCCAAATCGATCTTTGAAGTGGCTAGCATCTCCCCGATTGGTGCCCAAACTAACTACGATGTAGAGCACCGTCAACATCATTACAGCGTCCACCGTCGCCTTTTCTCACAATAATTCTCCTTTTTAACCCCAACTACACACAAAGCTACAAACTCCCATTTTATACTAAGCCCCATCGGCGGTTTCACGAAATATGAAACTATACGCCATAATTAATGGTCGTAGGTTTCATGACCATTGAGTTTCCTGTCATTAAATTAAATTAATTTTTTTTGGGTTATTACATATATGCTCACACATACATTTCATGCATACATGCTCATAACCATGCATACCTTCACATCATATATACAATCATCCATGTATATTCACATATACATATACACTTATGCATGTATGTATTTTATTGTGTATGTAGTTATACCCACACAATTAATACATACTCATTTATGCATATAACTTCACATACTAGCATGATCAAATATAACAATTTATCATCTTGTTACGTAAACATTTAACAAATAATAATCACGTATTGATTACCTCAGGTGATAACCAGGATCCGGTTATCACAACAAAGATTCAGTTAAACCTTAAGATGAAAAACAATAAGAATATATCACTTTGAGGTACAAAAAAAGTCAATGTATTTGTAATTTCTTGACGTTAGAGGGGTTTTGAGGCACTACATCACCAATTACCGTCATTGGACGTTAGAGGGGTTTTGAGGCACTACATCACCAATTACCGTCATTACTCTGAACATCAAAGTTTCAATATGCAAAATTTTCGTTTAATAATCATCAAAAACAATCAAAGAACATCAAACTCATCATTGATAAAAAAAATAACAAATCTCAATTCATGATGGAACTCAAAACACAAAATCTATAAGAAAAACTTTTCTAAGTTCATAATTGAGAACAAACTTAGTTCATGATTCATTATAAGAAAAACTTAAATTTATAATTTATCGAACAAATAACTCAATTCTTGAAATTTTTAAAAAATATGAAAATTCTAGAATAGACAATACATTTATTCTTATAAATGTTGTTGAAGTTGTGACATGTAGAAATAAAGGTCTTTCATTGAAACCTCAAACTTGTTTCAAATAGGAACTCAAGTTGATCATAGCTCTATATAAGCACATATATGTATATAATACAAACACGCACGCATATTTTGTACAACACTAACCTCTCTTTTAAAAGAAAAAAATAAATCATAAGAAAGCAATATATTTTAAATCTTCAACTATAAAACAAAATAATTCACATAGTTTTTCATAATTTTTATTTAGTTTAAATAAAAAAAAATTCATTAAATGATTAACCCCTTCATTTTCTATATTATATTTTATTTATAATAACTATTATTTATACAATATTTAATATAATTAAAAACTAATATTTTTATTTAATTTGTACTTTCTTAGTTTAACATTTCTTTTACAAAAATCAATATATTTTTTGGTAACTTTTTATGACCATGTTCTTGAATGAGCCTGTTGCAAGAAACTCTTTGAGCTTGGAAAGTGAACTATTTCGTGAAATTTTTGTAAACACTTGTTTAACACTTTTGCAAATCCTAATAAATCTCATTTTGGGTTTCAAAGAGTTTATTTTTAAGTTATAAAAAACTAGTGTTCCAACCACGCGTTGCGCGGTAGTGATAATATCATCTTCTAAAGAAATGTTATAGACTAAAATTTAAAGTCTCCTTCTAAAAAAATTAGACAAATGTGTGTGGCAACTAATCATTAACATTAAAAGTTTTTAGGAGAAGTTGACAATAATCTTAGAACCATATGTTAATTTAAATCATCTAACTATGCTTGAGAAAGGTGTTAGAAAGTACTCTACAAATGTTTGACTAATGTTAGTAGTTTGTGTTGATCATCTCTCTCAATGATTTGATGATAATCCCTCTTACTTTATACGAAGTATTTATGTTTCTGTCTTTCAGTTTCAGTGATCATCACTGAGTCTGTTTAGTGATCACTGAGAACATGTAATGTAAATCCATTAGCAACAGCGATACTTCAAGAAGATAAAACTCATACCAAAGAACCTTCAGTGAAAGTCGAAGACTGAAGCTGAAGATTAGAGACTGGCGAGTTTGTGATCTAAAGCGGCATTCAGTGATTATAACATGGTCTACATAGGTGTGAAGACTGCTCAAGCCTCAGCGAATGCTGAAGAAACCTTTGGGTTATTCCAGCATTCAGTTATCAAAAGAAGTTTGTTGAGCATGATTGTTTTTGTCTTGTCCTTCCACACACAAAGGACAAACCCATACCCATTATAGAGTATAGTACGGTACGGAGCCAATTAGTTGACTCTACTACCCACCAACTCCATGAAAGGATGTCTGCTCGTGAATAGGCTTTTGTACTATTCATTGTGACAAAGGACAAGTTTTTCTCTAAAGGTTTGACGCGTGTTCAAACTCTACTGCATTGCATTAAATGTGCATTTAATGCAATGGGTATAAATATATATGTTCTATCTCCATGCAGAGATACTCTTGAACCCTAACTCTTACGTTCATATGTGAAAGAACACACATCTAAAGAACACAATACGCTTATCTTCAAAAAGCAAGTTAGAAACCTGTTTAAGTATTCTAAATAGTTCTTACCCAGATAGAACTTACTTTCTTCTAAGTGTTAAACATCAAATCATTTCTCTTTGCTAAGAACTTGTGTGTAACTTAGATTGTTTAGATAGGTTATCTTTATCTTATCTTTTCCGCAAATAATCTTGTAAAATCTATATTTATCCTTCTTTATCAATATTTATTTTAAATTTAAAAGTTTATTGTGTTTGTATTCATCCCCCCTACAAACTATTATACACATCTTGTAGAGCTTAATGGGACCAACAGTTTGTTTAATTAGAAGTCATAGTTCTAACTGAAATCTCAAATAAGGTGACAAAATCACGATGTTAATTTGTAACAAATTTAATTGAAATCTCATTTGAAGTTGTGAAAAAAGAAATGACCTATAATATTTCAAGTGAAAATTAGAGGAGTGTGTAAGTTGTAGCAATAGCAGTGGAAGTTTAAGGCGATGCATGAAGAACCACATCACCAAGCTAAGATAATGGATTTTTTTTCTCACAAAAATAAAATAAAATTAATATCAAGTGGGGTTGATGACCCACATATCAGATATTAAACTGATAAAAACAAATAATACACTTTATCATAACATTCTATAATATTTGAATTGTAATTAGATGGATATGTCAAACCTTGATAGTAGTAACACCAAGACGATAAATAAATAACTACATCACCAAGTAGTATAATGGACATTCTCATATAAAAAATAAAATACCAAGCAAGCTGAAAGCCTATATATCAGATATCAAACTAAGAACATATAATATACTTAATCTAAAAAAAACTAAGATCCGGGATAGATACGTTAAACTAAAAACATATACTACATTTGATCTTAAGCAAAAGGTCGACATCTGATAAAAATATGTTTGTTTCATTTTTAGTCATTTCTTTTTGTAGTGATCTCCCTCTTGTCACTTTCGCTCCATTATGCTATGCGGGATGCAAACAATATTGAGAAAAAAGTTGGCCCTTTTCTTTTTGTATCCACCTCCCACATGCGTCTTTCTTCTTTGATTCAATATGGAATGCAAACAATAACGTGTAAAAAAAAGATTTATAATGCTTAGAAGTTCTCACCTGATTATCCAAGGTTATTGTTTTTATATAGATAAAAATAAATATATAAAAATATAGATTATAGATATATAACTATTGGTTTACAACTATAACTTCGACCAATTTTATGCTATTTTTATATTAGTTTTTGATATATAATTTTTTTTATAGAATATGGTTGACCAAAAAAGAGGACAACCTAAAAATTGCACAAACTCTTAGTATTATAAGATATCTAACTTATTTTCAAATATTCACTTCCTTATTTTGTATTATTTGGTTGGTTTTGATTTCAACCATGATTATATATTTTGTATTATTTGTTTGGTTTCTTCTTTAATATATATATTGATATTGACATTGGTTGATGATTGATTTCAAATTTATTTTTTCCTTCTTTCACATATTTACCTCTATCTTCGAACATATCACATTCTCATGAATTTGCGGCAATACCTTAACATGTAACTTCTTTACATATAGATTTATTTTATTTTATTTTACTTATAACCATATAATCAACTTTGGTTAATATAAAAAGGTTATCATAGATTCAATTTTAATTTTAACAAACTAAAATAATCAATAAATTGTTCGTTATATTATTTTAAAGTTTTTAATTCAACTTTATAATATAAAATATATACTAAAGTCACATCATTACATTTCATTGTTATCTAAAAGTCAATTGATATAAAATTAATAATATAAAAATAGGGTCATTCAAGTAAGATAACTTTGTGATCAAGTCTCATGAGTTGACATAATTAATCTCATCCTTCTTACTTATACACACCTCCTTATTCCAATATTTCAATCTCTCACCAATGTGGGATATCTCAAACTCAACCATAATTCCCCAACATCTAAGTACTTAATTCTCATGATTTCACATCAATACCTCTTGGTTTGCATGGTGATCAAAACTCAATTTAAGAAAAAATATAAAATCCTCGACTCAAGCAGAAGTGTGATATGTCTTGTGATAATTGGGTCTTGGTTATCACCCTAGGTAATTAATACATGGTTATTTGTTATATAATTACGTGAAAACATGATGAATTTTTATGTTAATTATGTGAATCATGTATTTTTATGCATAGGAAATATATATATATATATATATATATATATATGCAAACGTGGATACATGTATGAGACTGTATGTATGTGAGTATGCATGATTATATGTATACATGAGAATTTAAATATGTGAAAAAGCATGGTATTATTATATGCATGAAAGATTTATCATGCATGAGGTGATGCATAGGTGAGGTGTGTGTAAGAAGAGGCTTTAGTAGCCGACTTTCCTGTTGAGGAAAGGTATAAAAGGGAGGGCTTAGCCTCCATTTCTCTTTTTCTTGCTATTTTTGGAGATTGAGCGGTTTAAAAAGAGAAGTCTTGACCAGATTATTTCTGGATTGAAGATCAAATTGATTTCAAGTGTTTGGTTTCAAAAGATTTAAAGGTGAGTGACAAATGCTTTCAAAATGCTTCAAATTATGTTTTATTGAGTTTTGAAATATTTACTTGAATGTTGTCCGGGTTAATATAAACCGGACAAGTGTTGAGCGGGTTCTAGCTTAAATAGATTAAAGCACAAGCGGTTTAAGGCTAAACCGCCTGAGGTGTTAAAATGATATAATCTTAAACCTGACAAGGGTTGAACGGATTAAGTTTAAACCAGAGATGCTTTAACCGGTTTAAGGGTAAATCAACTAAATGTATTGACCGGTTTAAGTTATGAGCAATTTAAGAATTTTGGAACTTATGTTGTGTTTCAATCGGAGAAGTATGAAACGGCAAAAAGGTATGACCGGTTTATTTTAAATCGGACGATTTATGCATAGTGTTGTCTGGATTTGTTATCCGGACAAGATTAGTTGAATTATATTTTAAACTTATCATTTTATTGATTTATTTTCAATAAATGGAAATTTTGACAAAATAAATTTGAACTGATAATAATTCCATTGACATCGGTCTATTCTAAATGAAATTGTTTCATGAAATATTTTGATGAGGAAATAAGGGTGACATATCAAGGAGAGGTGTACCATGGGATAAGGGTGGCATATCAAGGAGAGGTGTACATTTGGATATAAGGGTGGTATTTGTATATGTGTATGTATAATATAACTCTTACTATGATATCCCTTAAAATTACCATGGTCTGGAATCTTTATTTCTTTGTGATTTAAAGGTTTAAGATCATGGTTCTTATTGGAAATCATAGTCTGAATGCTATTGAGAAGAGGATAACAGGTTTGGTTTGAAACTTTGAATAAACCTTATTTGACTTGAAGGTTTAAAAGTAGCATTATGATATTCTGGATTATGTAAACCTATTTGGAGTTGATATATTAAGCAAAGAATTTGGCTTGAAAAGTGAAAGGTATTGGTACTATGCCTTAGTTGTTCCTATATTTGCTATATATATGAAAAGTTGTTTTACTTAAAAGTTTTTGGTGATTTTCTCCCTGCAATAGTATAAATAGGAAAACTCACTAGACCTTTCGGTCTAACCCTCGTTTTGTGATTTAAATAGTATTGTAGGAAGTGCAGAAGGTAAGGGAAAGGGAAAATGTGATAATTTTCCCATATGATTATCTGCGTGAAGGTTTACTGATGGCATGTATAGTTTTGATAGATGATATGGTTTAGTGCAAGAATTGTATTTGGAAATTTTGGACCATGTATTTTGTACTGGTAAATTCTTGTACTAAGGGACCAATGTGGTGTATAAACATGTATTTATTTTATATGAAGTATATGTTTCATGTAATGTGTGGAATGGGGTGTTACAGAAAGTGGTATCAGAGCCTGAGTTTAAGGGATTTAGGTATTCAACAGCATGATACCTAGACTGAAACTGTTTTATTGCATGTTAAGGGTCCCGGACATAGTTAGCACCATTGGAAATAAATATGATGAGTTGAAAGAACAGTGTGTAAGGTAAATTTTAATTACATCTGGCCAGTGTAATTATGAATTTACAGGTATACATCTGAACTTGAATACTTCATTATATTTGGGAATGTGAATACGTGATTATTAATACTAAAATTTATAGATGTCTAGCCGAACTCGGAGATCTGAAAGAACGGCTCGTCCAGAGTCTGAGGAAAGAGGGGAATAACCCGTTAACCTTCCGACTAACACATCTGAAAATAGAGGTCGGGGAAGACCAAGTGGTCGAGGCATAGGGAGAAGTTAGTCTCAAGGAAAGGGTCGTATCAATATTCATTCTGAACATGAAGAATCCCATTCTCGGAATGTTCAGGAAAGATCGGCGCCACACTCAGAATATGTAACCAGGGATATGTTGGCAGAAGAAATGGGGAAGTTACGGGAAACTCTGACATCTATCATGGGAATACCGGCTAGAGTGGAAACGGAAAGAGTGGAATTTCAACCCTCTATTCCAGTTACCCATAACAAGGAGGTAGATATCAAGATGTTTTTGGCATGCAAGCCACCAACATTCTCTGGGGAAAAAGATCCAGTGAAAGCTATGTCCTGGATCAAGGAGATAGAATATGTGTTCAACACCATTCGGTGTCCGAAAACAGATAAAGTTTGATTTGTTGTTTCAGTATTGAAATCAAATTCTTTGTTCTGGTGGAAAGTTGAATCATTAGCCCGAACGGATGTCTTACACACGTTCCTGAACAAGTTTTATGGACCGATTAGAATCAGTTTTGTCCTAAGACGGCAGTGAGACAAATGGAAGAAGATTTTCTGAAACTGGAACAAGGAAATAGAACAGTTCGGGAGTATACCGAGAAATTTATCGAATACTCTCGATTTGCAGAACACTATGTTTCAACATAATCCAGGAAGATAGAAAGGTATATTTGGGGTTTGAAACCCTCAATCAGAGAGTTTGTAATTGCTATGAACCCCAATACCTTTTCACTAACTGTATGTGCGGCCGAAGTGACAAAACGAAATAAGAATCGACAATTAGAAGGAAAAGTTGTAGAGAAAAGAAAATGGGAGGGGTCTTCATCGAACTTTCGAGGGCCGAAAACTATGAGATATGATAATAAAGCTGATCAAAAAGTCGGTGAGAAAGTTTGTACACAATGTCGACTGGTTCATCAGGGTGAGTGTAAGATGGACCCAAGAAAATGTTACAAGTGTGGTGAAGCGGGCCATTTGTCAAGAAGTTGCCCAGCTAATAGGAGATGTTTTAATTGTAATTCTCCGAATCATATTCGACCAAACTATCCATTATTAAGAACTCCACAGCTGACAATGGGAAGTTATGCGTCGAGTACTCGGGGAAGACCTACTGTGAATAGAGGAGGGCAAGGAGGGGCACGGGAACGGTCCTTCCAGATGGCAAAGAATGAGGCAGCGACGTCACCAGATGTAGTAATAGGTACCTTCCTTCTGAATTCTATACATGCTAAGGTGTTATTTGACTCTAGTGCAAACTTTTCGTTTGTATCACCATCGTTTGCTCAAACAGCATGCTTGAATTATGTGTTAATTGATGACAAATTAGTAGTTGATACTGCTAATAGTCAGG